AGTGTGAGCAGCTTTATCCAGGGGACATCACTTAGGATTAGCTGAGCGGCTGAGATAAACTGAGCAGGGGGATGGCTCTGTTATGAGGCTTCATCCCTTAGCAAGGAAGTCTGAGGAAAGTCTGGCCCATCAGTGACCCAGCCAGGGGATGCTACTGAGTATTTCCTGAGCAGCTCAAATGGGATGGCCCCTGTGCAGGCTTCTTCACTAAGAAATGAAGCCTGAGGAAGGTTTAGTTCATGTGCTCATTTTCATTTTGACCAAATTGCTGAGTATTCAGTGACTCATGAGCTGATCTGAGTACTCATCTGGACTCAGTTATTGCTCATCCAAGATGGAAATGAGCCTTCTCAAGAAATGTCAAGCAAAATATGAGAAAAACAGCCTGATCACCTGAACACAACCAAAATTTTGAATTGAATGAATCTGAAAGAAAATGAATCTTTTTTGGAGACTTCAAAAAAGTCTACAACGCTCACATACATGTGAGCATCAATTTTGGCCCCTGTGCAATGTCATCATAGAAGACTTGGATGAATAGGAAACATCAATTCCCTAATTCCCACTGTGCTACAAAAAATTATAATCATAGATTGATAATTTCTTCATTCATCCTCTACATACCAAAGACAAGACGTGAGATCTCCGCCACTCGTCTTGAATTCTGAGTTCTCTGTTTTGAGATTTCAGAATTTTGAATTGCAAGCTTGTTTTCAACTCGGACCTCGCACCACAACCTACCACAACCCACATGGCATCACACTAAGCCACTTGATGCTCTTTTGTGCTTCTCTTTTTTTCACTTGATCTTGCTGGATTCAAGAAGACTTTGTACCAAGCCATCTGATTAACAAACAGCTGGTCTAGATCTATCCATTTTGATTCCAGGATAGCCAATTGGTTTAGGGAACATTGAAACAAGAACCCTGATCACATGCAGATAGACACACAGTTTTATTTACAAAATATTCAGCCAATGTAAAAAAAACACCAACGGCAGGGCTTTTTTTGCCAAGGATACATCTGACCTGTTGGAACTGCAGGCATGAAAACCTGAAAATGGCAGGGTTATCTTTTCCTCAGAAATCTCCCGAGTCACAAGACATTTAATCTTGTGGCCCCTGGTTTCAGACCATTTCTCAATGAATCAATTGTTTTATCAATTAGCTAGGCCATCCAAATTGGTAAATTTCATTTTTCTCATTTTCTATTTGTATAAACGCTTGCATCTAGTTGTCCTACCGCTTTGCCAAAACAATCTGTTAATCACTCATGTGTCAAAAGAAATAGTCACTTTTTTTGTTTGCACGCACTGCTTGAACTGTTTTCCTTTAGCACTTCAGTACACCTAGGAATTGTTTCCAAGCAGCTCACTTTCATCGCCTCCTTTTAAAATATAATAATCACTTTTTTGTTTGCATATGCTGCTTGAATTGTTTTCCTTTAGTCCTTCAGTACGCCTAGGAAATCTTTGGGTTATAAAGACATAACATGTAACCAGATACTATTCCAACACCGAGATCATTGAGGCTGAATACCATTCCATTTGGCCTCCATTTGCGCTATTCATTTGTCCCAAGCAGCGTGATTCAGAGTCTTAGCAAAGCATTTGTCAACAGAGTCAGTGGTCAATATGCATATGTCTTTAGTGCATTTAGGCCTGTTACATTGATCACGGTGGTTTCCACCCCCTGAGTATGCAGTAGCTGTTGAGAAACTGGCTTGGCTTGCTTCGATGAGAGCGGGAGTGGAAAAGCCACCATTGTGTGCTTTGTAATCAATCAGGTATTGAACACCACATGAAGAGTGAGAGGGGAGACATTGGCGTAAATGTTTTTGGAAATGTTGTCATTGATCCTGGTCTTCACAGTTTTGATAAGCTTCCTAGCTGCTCCAGAGGAGGAGCTCTTTCCTTTGAACTTGACATAGTTGGCAATAAGATTGTTAAGCTTATTGCAGTGAGTTTTGGACGAGTCACTGGGCAGAATTTTCATATCATTTAAAGCATCTTCAATAGTTCAAAGACCAGCCTCAGAAATCTTCTGGTGGTGATTCTTGAGGCTGGACCAGATCAGGGAAGGTTCATAGGTAAGATCATTGTCATTGTCAGAGTCATCATCATGGTCTTCATTGTCATTGTCAATGTCAATGCATGATCAGAGTTTCAGCATTGTCTGGCATTGGTTCTTGTTATGACTATCCATGAGTCCCATCATCCAAATTGATAAGACAAGCTTCAACTTGAGGTGTTGCTCATCTGTTAGTCCGGGGTACTTGAATTCAGGTTTAGACAGGTACTTGTGGTAATCAATAGCCTTCAGCACTTGTCTGATTTTGATAGACCAGTTCGGAAAGTTTCTGTCTGTGAGTTTTGTGTCTACATTTTACTTAGCTAACACTGAATTGAGTTTCTGAACAAACTGCTGAAGGGGAGTTCCAAAGGCTTTGGAGTCCTCCTTTTCAGCCATAGTGGGACAAGGTAGTTTGGAGATTGGATTGAGTGATTCAGCAGTTGGAGGTGGTTTCTCAGTGTTGGTGTTGGAACGAGTTTCTGAGAGTGAGTCAGAGAAAATGTCCTGGTATTTGGAGTTGGTTAAGCTAGGAGACAGTGATGACATTCACAGATGATGGAGACGTCTGACAGAGTTTGTTGATGGATCTTAGTAACTCTTGCTACCATGAAATGAGTTCTTGCAAGGTGTAAGGGGTTACATAATGGCTATTGGTGTATGGAAGTAGACAGGTCACAGTTGTAGTTGTCAGCAAGCCTAGCTCCACAAAGAACCTCTTCTTCACCGAATACCTTTGGTTGGAGCTAGGTGAGATTATCATTTCACTACATTTTCTCTATTCTCTCATCTTCCTCTTTCTCAGTTCTGTTGTAGAGCGTTGAAGCTGATTGACCAAATACCTTTGGTTGGAGCTAGTTGTGTGTTTTTGTCTTTTGGAAATCTAGTTGGGTTTTAGATTACGCTTGGGAGCAACCGCTCCAGATCCTCCTTGACTCAGTGAAGGCTCTAGATCATAGAGCCTTACACTAGGGCGGAGGGAATCAACGCCTTACCTGCAAGCAGCAGGATATCACGACAGAGTGGTAGGAAGGTCTGTTGAGAAAGATGAGTACAGTCCAGGTGAAGATCACACACACAGAGTAAAAAGAGAAAAAAGGTGCTTACTCTCAAGCTTCAGTTTCCACACAATGAGGGAGGAAACCGGATCTCTAGAGAAGCAGAGTATAAGAGAAAGATGTTGAGACAAAAAATTTCAACAACCTATCCCAAAAGGGAGCACACATTGCGCACACAAGAAACATAGTAAGAGGAAGTACGGATTGGGATAAGCCTCTACAAGAAATCAATTAGAAATTGGAAGACCACCTGGTTTGAGAATAAGCTGAGTTCTTGTGTGAGTATTAACCCCTGAAATTACACTACCACGTCCACATGCCCACTGAATCCTCCTTGTCTTGATATTTCTTGATTGAGAACCTGCACCACTACCTCCTCCTCAAAATATCCGTAATTTTTGTGATGTACTTGACCAGATGTAGCCTTTTACCACAACACCAACAGCTTGTGTGGTGCACTTCTTTGAAGAAAACTATTGTACAAATGAGATCACTGCCTGAAGTTAACCTATTAAACATCTAACATATTTTTGGACAGACTCTATGAGTGATATACAGTTTATGAAACACAGGTCAGATCAGGTGTTTGTAATTTGCTGCCACAGGCCAATGTTCAGTCATTGTGCCCACCTGGAAATTACTATCCCTCTAGCCGCGGCGCCCGCCAATGATTTGCTAGTCACACTTAATTCTTGGAGTGTTCACATCAGAGTTTCACAATTGTTCATAAGCCCCTCTTCCGGGGCCTGGACGCGGCTGCGCAGACAGGGCTTTGTTAAGCTAAGGGCCAGGTACTGGATCAAGACAGATTGAGTTATGTGGCCTAAGGCTTGACCAAAACAGCTTAGGCTGTTAAGGGGGTGTGTGGACCAAAGAAGGGGGGTGTATATAGTGGGATCCTTTTTTAATTGTGCTTGACTTTCTTTCACTCCTGCCTCGGCTGTCAAATAATTCAGAAAATTATCCAATTTTGTGATGTAGATTCTTTGGAGCTTCAGCATCATATATCCCCAAAAATAAGGTTAGATTGCAGCTTTGAACTCAAATGAAGTAAGTGGATAAGACTAGTCATCAATATGTAGTAGGTTTGTTGGATTTGGGACTATAAAAAGCAGAGCTGAATGCTTCTAGAAGCTTCTTATAGCAGAACTTGAGATGATGTGGATTTCGTAGAGATTTCCTCATTCAAGCTTTGAATAAGAAGATATACCATTGAGTGCAACTTGGATTCTGATCACTGTAAACATTACCCTTGGTTTTGGTGTACGAATTTAAAAAAATATCTATGAGTGTGCCAATGTCCATCAAGCGTAGCAGACTGAAGGGTGAATTTGGGAGTCTTGGGAGATAGTGCAAGGGTGGACAATGTGAGGAATTCTTGGGGTTCTTCCCCCTTATACGTATGATAAGATGAAATTGAGATGTTGTTAAACAGCAGAAACTCAAAGTTGTTATTCAAGCTGTGCGTTTTTGACCTGGTATAGTGCAAGTCTACTATCATGTAGTCAAAAAGGAAACCTCAGCCAAAAAAGAATTCAATCAGACTGTTTCATCTAACAGAAAAGATATGAAGGTTCTCTGATATTCATCTGGACAGGTGACTAAACCAACGGTATAGATCCCAATATTTGATACTGTACATTTGTGTTGGTGATTTATGGAAGACGTTTTTAAATTGACAACAAATACTGATAGGGTAATACTTTTGGCCGGTCTTGTGTTGCGCTCAAAGCGATGTTAGACAAGTTGGATACCCAGTCTGTCCATCTCCTGGTCGATCGAGTTTTCAGCCAGTAATCTGTGCTGTGAGCCTCCGATCGGACACCCGCACGTGGGACACCTCGATTGCTGGAAAGGACGAACATCAGCAATGTCATACAATCCTTGATTGAAGCATGGAGAGTCTTACTTGCATAGCCTGCCCGCATTCCGAGATGTAAAAAGTATGGCCCTCTATACAGCGGTACCTGTGTGTTTTCATGTCAATTAGCATCTCATCATCAAATTTAAAAAGAGCCTGTGCACACCAATGGGATCCAAATTGAACCCCCATGGCTCGAGCGATCATAGTCTTTTCTTCGAGAGTGACAGGCTCCTCCCACGTTCGCGACACAAGGGACGATAGGACCTGATCGAATGAGCTCTCTAAAAGATCACGATTTTCCTTTGCAGAATCTATTTCATCATTATCATGACTTCCCGAACTTTCCAAGCACATCTTCTCCCAAATGACTATCGCATTGTTTAGCTTATTTATCGCTTCGTTTGAGTCTTCTGTTAATGATTTGATAAGATCTAGATCCTTATCATCTTTACGTAGCTCTTCCTTCACAATCGATTTCATTTCGTCTAAGAGCGCGCGGGCGTGAAAATCCCAAGCATGCACAGTTTGAATGGTCAAACCAAGTTCAAAAGCTTCTGTCGCAATAAGTTTTTTGCTCCTGACACGCGATCGGCGTAGGAAATTCAAATATAGCTTCCACTGGAAGATTATGATATCTGCACCTTCACTACTGTCGTAGAATGATGGGATGGAGTTCTCTAAAGCCCGGATAATGATAACGAAGATTTGATCCTCCAATGCACCAACATCCGTGATGATGGTATTGATAGACGGAGGTGGACAGGATCCCATTTCTCGACGAGCCCGCGCCATCAAAGCATCGATGTCACCATCTTGTTCATTGTTTTTTGCTGCCTGATGAACTAATGATTGATAAACTTTACTTAATCCTACGTCGTACGCGGCGCACATGGGTTGCTTCGTGGTGACCAAATCAAAAAGGGTCTTGTATGTGAGTCTGAGAGGATCGGTAGCCTTCTTCCAAGTATCTAGAAAACTGTTCGAGAAGCCATGTTGCTTCAAGTCAAAAATGTCTGCCGGAGAGAGTAATATAGTTTCTTCAGCTTTGCAGCACGAAGTCTGGTATTCGAGTACTTCCTTGAGCTGAACCCGTGGATTGATGTGGCTGATTTCGAACCAAGTACGTTCATCCAGTACAAATTTGAACTCCTTCAACTGATCACAGATTTCTTTCACAGTATATTCGGATCGTCGATAATTCTCTTCTTCCAAGAGTTGTAGTTTAGCAAACATGATCGGACGTGTATATCTTCGTGCAAATTTGGGAGTGATCGCACCACGACACGACGGACACGATTTCGGAGTGACGCGATGTTCGGTAGGAAATATTGGCCGCCCATCTGAATTGTAATATTGATGGAGCTCCATATGTCCATCGAGAGTTTCGACCGTCCAAGAGTGGCCGCAAGCAAGTGTGATGATCCTGTCGTCCCAATTTTGTTCCGGATTCATTTCATTGAGAGTCTTCGACTCGAATATATCAACGACCTGTTCCATCGTTGAGGCAGGGCTACAACGCACACAATTCTGATGGCTGCAATTTTCCCCGCAGAGTGATGGACACGGATGACCACAGCTAAGTTGTAATGGACATGCCTCCTGGCAGAATGGACGGGCACAGGGCTAAAAAGAAATTCTTAGACGGCTTTGCATGTGTGAGGGAATCAGAAAAAGATGCTGACCACAATGCAGGGCAATTCACAAGTGTGGTGCTTACAGCTCCATTCGCACTTGTGTTTGCACGGGATACACATTTCACTGCAACGCTTTGGACAGGGACGATGTTCGCAACTCATATCGCATGACTTGGAGCAGGGTGGACAAAAGTCATGCGGGCATGGCGAAGAGCATCTATGTCCACAGCTAAGCTGCTTATCACACGCATGAGGGACGTGCTTGTGTACCTGGACCGCTGCATCGGCAGCAATTGGTGTTCCAGTCGAAGTTCCTTTATTGAGGCTTCGACCGCCAGAACAAGGATTCCAGCATTTCTGGTCACAGCAAAGCATTTCACCACCGCAAGGTTCTATGCAGTCATCGGGAACGTCTCTGTTCTAACTTGGGTACAAGGAGACATCTGCGAAAAAAACATATTAGATAGATCACCTCATGATATGTGAGCTCAAAGTACAAACTTTTTCATGTCCACAGTCCATCTTCCAAGGTACGGCTTCATGGCACACCACATTCTCAAGGCGAGAAAGTTCAGAACATAAGATACGCGGCGCAACATGTCCACAAGGCAATTCCACGTCTCGTATGGGGACGCGGCACGCTAAACAAAGATCTCGATGACATAACGAGGGGCACGGGTGCCCACATCCCAGAATTTTATCACACAGCTCGGTGCATTGCGAAATTGTATGCTGCTTCAAACGTGGTTAGATTCTGTCAACAAGTTCAGAATGAAGAGAAACTTACTTCACGATCATCCGGATGACAGCGGCGTTTACACAAGTGTCCTAAAGAGCAATCAGCTTCAGTACGCTATCAAGCTTATTACCCGTGAAAGTACACCAATAAACTCTTACCACATGGCTCTAATTGGTCACCACAGACCAGCCTACATCCACCCTCCGGTGACAGTTCTGAGAATTGACGGGAGCACTGGACCAAGTTTTTCGAGGTAAGTGGATACCTTTCACATATGATCGGGATACCGTCCATCAAAGACTCTTCGGCTTTAAGAGAGGAGATCACGAAGTCCCAATAGGGCGTAGCTCTTTGAAGTAGATCACAGTCTCCTAAAATGAATAAACCATGCCTTGCTCGTGACAAAGCTACGTTTGCGCGATTTTCGGACTACAGAACGAAAGTGATTGGTAACAGAGACACACTAAAGATATCAAATCACATTCATACCTTCAAGAATCCAATAGAATCATTCTGGTATTTGATGACGCTATTTTTTTGGGAATTCCGGACCACTGATAGTTGAAATTCTCTTGTCAATATACAGACTACCAGAGGATGTTGTGATAAAATGGACTCACAGCTCAGGATGATGATATCATCTTCCTCCCCTTGGAAATTATCTACACTTGTGATTCTTACCTGATGGATGCATTTTTGATTAGTTATATGCGATAATCGTTCAATTAGATGAATACTGACTTGAGCTCCAAGTTTATCTTCCTGAATTTCCCCACCAAAACAATCATCGAGTTTCTTTTGCTGTGTCAGGTCCTCTGAATTTGATTTGACCCGGACCCCCGCATCCTTGAATAAATTCCTAAGGATCACGACCTGCCCCACATAGGGGGTTATGATGCTTACACGGCCTTCATATCCTTGTTTAAAAAGGTATTTGGTCAAACCAACCACGAATGAGGCCTTGATATGAACATGGTATCATCAGCCATAATTTTCTGTGGTCAAAATTGTAGGTTGGTATTTACCTCGCCTCCATTGGTCTGTGAGGTGCTCACTGAGGTCTTCGAATCTTCGGGAAAGCTGTGGTTCATAAACACGACATTTGAAGATATACCTTGAATTCTGCTCGATCGTGGTGATGTGATTAGCTCGTGGTTGAGGAATGCAAACCTCGAATATCACTGACTTTGGAAAGGTTAACGTTGATGGATGATTTTCCAAGTTCGGGTAAATTTTGCTGCATTGTATTTTGAGCTGGAATGAGTGCGTATGATCTGCCAACCAGATTATATGATAATAAAGAAACCGACCTTATCAAACTTGATATTGCAGGTCTCATTCTTCTTTGAGTTCTGAGGCAAGCAAAGTCAATTTCGGATCTGAGATACAGACTAGGTTTCAGTAAAACGTCCAGCATTATTGGAAAACATTCATAAATATGGCAAGAGAAACTGAGCTCTACCTAACAAGTCTCTCGAACAGGCTTTGATCAGCACGGTAAAGCTTTCCAATTGAACTGTCCACGGAAAGGTCTTAAGGAGTGCACTAAATGAGTCCATGAACACGCGAGGATCTATTTTCGAACATATGCTTACTGTACGAGTTGATATGAGGTCTTAGCTGTTGATGATCTGTAGAGAAGAATGTGACGAGTGGATCAATCATGATAACAACTCAATTTCGCTGCACATGAGGCTACCAAAGAAACGTACCTCCGATCATGATCAAATGCTGGATACTCGGATTCAGTGACGCCCAGACTTGCCCCTCAAGTATTTCACCCGCCTCTTCAATTAGCAAGACTTTGGGTTGCGCTGAGCGCATTAGGTCAAGATACATCGCCGCTCCACTAGTCGTGCAAGCAATCACATCCATGGATCTGAGATAATCACACTTGAGTGATTCGTAGATCGCGTTCAGCTTCACTTTCGCGTTTTGGAGTCTCCTTCTCAAGAAGAATAGATTAGTATCAAGTTCGCGGTACACAATACTTTGCCAATGCTGATAAAGGTTCTTCCTTTCAACTCGAGACATCTCCCAAGGATCAGAATCATGAAGCTCTTCAACATTTCGTGTGGTATGAAGATCTTTTCTCTCCAACCACTTCCTGTATAATCTATTGTTAGAACCGCTTTCGTTTATTCCAACGCATAGAAGGTAGTAGCAATTTCACTGCTCGATCTCTGAATCATGTCACACAAAGATGAGTTGAAGGCATAAATTTCAAACGGATCTATACTATTACCACCCACTTGACTTGGTTGAATCAAAGATTGATTCGCCTTCTGTGCTTCAATGACCTTTCGGGAATCAACACGCGCAGCAAAGTCGTTACATTCGAGCCAGTCCTTCATTCGGGGGTCCTGGGCAGATGTGCTTTTCGAAGTAGAATTGACGACCGTCCATCCTTCCTGATGAAATAAGGATAAGGCATCGCGTATGAAACTTGGTGGATCAAGTATGCCGTCACATGCTTTGGACCTTAGACTCTCCAAACGGTGCACTGGTATGACGTGATCTTTTCCTTTGAAAGCCATATTGCACCTATCATCAATTTCTGCTGTTATCTCTTCGATGAGCCCACGTTGCTTTCTGACTGCTTCTCTTGCGACTCGACTCAGGGGGTTTCTTTGACAGTTCAGATTAAACTGTAGATAATATTGTCAGGTGATGATTGGCTTTGGAATTTATTGGACCAAATGATTCACAAAGCTTACAGGTTGTATTAATTCGGATTTTGATCCCACACCTATACGAGTAAATCTTCCCGTAACGTTGCTTTCGTAGAGCTTTTCTAAAAACTGTGCAGGTCATTTTCGGCGGAAGTTGAGCCTACGTGTCATGTCTTGACATACTCATTGATTGGACTGGAAGATTCACCTGGTCTAATGCATGATTTGTTACGCAGACAATATGGATTGGCTTAATACCATTCTTTAACAATGTCTCAACGACTTTCACACCCACGCTTATAAAGAAGGAATGGGTTAGTAATATTCTTTAAACAGCAGGGCAGCTTGTGATGGTCACTTACTGGCTCTTTCCTGTACCTGGTGGACTAAATCAGAAAAAAGGGCAACATATCAATATTGTGTTAGAGGGATGAGTGTATTTGATAAGTACGTACCCTTTGATCAGAGCTACTTCACTGGATAGGCAGTGAATCAAGGCCTCTGCTTGAGACTGATCGAGCTTTCCACTTTCTACAATTTGCTCAACTGTAGCTGCTTTACTTCCGGGATCAGAAAGTCGGACAGGCGTATTTCTGTCACCCAGAGGTCTGCCAAGCAAGCAAGATAAGTTCCAAGCGAATCCAGGGTTTCGCGGATACATCGGTACTGATAAATCTATCTTTTGATTTTCATCAAGCATGGGTACCCCCAAATAGGGTTTGAATGGTACCTCATAATAGTGTTTTTGACGAATGACTTCAAGATATTGTAGTTGTACCTCGGCAACAAGGTTTGGGATTTCGAACAGTATAAATTTAGATGAGTGGTTATTTGAAACTTTTCTGGATTGAGCGAATCCCCAATTGTACGTTTGTTGATGTAAAGGCTTGACGAGAACTTCTAATTTATTGTTTACTGTTGCAGTAGCATCGGATTTGAGAAGTCCAAGATGAAATTGATTACCGTCAAATATACCGACTAAATTTTTGTTTCTTAAGTTCCCAGTATCTTCTAAAACTTTTTGAGACTTTGTCCATGTAGCCGTGATGACCAAACAAAGGCTTTCTTTCTGAGGACAAACCTCCATATTTTCAACACATGCGCCTTGAAATATCCCACACACTATATCCGATCCTTCGTGATTCAGTTTGACGCGACCATTAGTGCAAAAGATTTTTGAGCCCTTTGATTTACTCTCTTTGCGAAAAGCTTTGAGTACATCTCGAATCGGAGAAACGAAATCTTCACGCATAAGTCGGAAACATGTATCAAGCTGTCTTTCAACACCGTTTGTGACAATGTGATGTGGCGCAAGCGGGAAGTTGGCTGGAAAGCATGGTTCTGTGTCGCAGAGAAGTTCATCGATAGTAGGAAAGCATTTTATTTTGCTTATCGAATGATGATCATTCGAGTGTCGACCTCCTGGTGGGACCCATCTTTGTTGAAGGATATGCAATGCTTTGTCGTTTTCACAGGTCGCTGTCACCCTAGAAATTTTGCTTTGCGATGGCGTTTGCGGTTGTGTTGACAAAGCTTCGACTGTTGTATCCCATTGAGCTAGCTTTCTGTGCAAATCTTTCAAATTGTTGGCCAAGTTAAGTAAAAGGTATTCACGCTCGTTGGAGGATAATGATGAGAATAAGTCTTGTTGTGATGTTTCCAAGCTAGACTGAGGGTTGGAAGCCTGTAAGATCTTTCGATCATCCACCTCCCTTATGAGTTTACCCAATGTTAACCGAATCTTGTCGACCGCGCGTAATCGAGTATGGAAGCGAATAGTATACCTGCTCAAAAAAGCTCGTTTCAAATTCTGTTTTTCAAGAAGATTGGGAATCGAAACTTACTGTCTTAATATTAGGTAAAAGGTCGTGAAAGCGCGATATGTGATCAATCCATTGCCAGGATCATCAGGCCAAGAAAATGATTCGATTGTTTCACATATCATCTCGACGTTCTGGTTGACTGTATCATACAATCTGTTGATCACGCCTTGGTCAAGCCAAGTCAGAAGCACTTCCGAAGTCAAAAACTTCAATCAAAAGGGATCAGTGAATTTCTTATCTGCTAGATGATGATGAACTACATGGTATCGCCAACTCACAGTCAGCGTAGGCAGCCAACCCTGGTAGATGAAGTATTCATTTCTTCGATTATGCCTCAGAATATCGCCAATGTATCGGATCAATAGTTCGAAGGGAGGGAGCTTAGAGCCTTGTGACGCGTCTTCGCTTAGCACAAGGAGCAGAAGATCGGCCTGATCTTTGTAAGACTTTTCAAAACAGAACCAATCAGCGAGCCAAGATCATCATCACTTTCTCTAGAACAACAGTCAACTGATGAGGATGTGAAGGAGTCTACCATGCCGGGTGCGATCATTGCAACTTGAAGAGTCACGGCGAAGTCCTTGAGTCCCCTCATCACCAATTGAGGTTGATATGGTGCAGTTGTCCATTGTTTGATCTTCCTCCAAAGCTCGCCGTGATTAGATTTATTGGGTATTTGTACGAGAGAGTCAGAAAATTGATGATTTCCACAGAGAGCTTTCTCTGGTTGAATCGTGTCAGCTTTATTTGTTACCGGGTCTGCCTGCCTTGCAGCTGGCTTGTGATAAACTCTTCCACCTCGCCTGCGCATGATTCGGGTTGATGGGGAAGTGGCTGAAGTGACAATGATGTTCTATATAATCAGAGTTCGTGAGCTCGATGTAGTTATCACATCTCAAATTACCAGCCACGCTTACACCGCTAAAGGGTTTTTAGGCAAACTTTTGTGGGCCCAGGGGTTTTTAGCCGCATCAGTCCCCGCGTGAGACTTGAGACAACGGTGAGACGATCATGAGACTACACGTTACAAATATGAGATGCATCCCAGGGATGGATAGCCTGATATGCCCAAGGAATGGGTTTGTCTCGGTTCTCGCAAGGAGCAGTGTTGGCTACCGACGTGGGCTTGGGCCCGAATTTTATTTCCCCCCATGAACACAAGGACAACATAGAAAAAGGCGATTGATAAACCACGCCGACTTCAAAGCTGGTTTGACACCGGTTTTTTCAAACCGGATTCCTTCAGAAGATGTACAGCTGCTATACTGAGGTAAGTACAGACTGGTACAGAGCTGTACCACTTCTACAGCCTTCAAACCTCTTCGAACTATTTCTGACGCCGGGTTTTGACAGACTCGGCGTTATTCCTTTTGAAAGTTTTTGGATTGTTTTCACCGCTGATCAATCCTAATTCTTGTTTCTGAGAAGGTGACTAGAGAAATTCATGTTCTACATACTCAATTTCGGTAGCTGTAGTAAACATTGAGAGTTTCTACTTGTCTGAGATGAAGGGCTATTGAAAATGTTTCCATTTGCGATGTTGGACGATTGAACAAAGCTTGGACCAATCACAAGAAACATGATATACTTTTGGCTCCATTTGCTCGGCTCAATCGCACCAGGAGAGCAATCCTCTTGGGAGGGCCTCAAGAACTCAAGCATCACCAAGAGTTCAAGGATTACCAATACTAATGCTGGATCTGATTGATAGTAAATCACCAATGGCCCGTCCTACCTCACTTTTGTTCGACCAAATATTGGAGGAAGTTTGCAAACGCTTGTTTGCAATGCAAAAGCAAGAGTCTGAATTGTCAGACTGGTTCTCTATCATTGTGTTCCAAAGAACATGTAGATAGAAACATTATGTGATGAATACTTGCTGGGTAGAAGGGGATTCTCACTTGATAGACCCACAGAGACGCAGAGTAGAGTACTGGCTCAGTCATTGCCCTCCTGAACTACTCTGCAAAACACTTCAACAGCAAGTGCAGTGGGTTACATGTACTGCGTCAAAATGCGGCATCACTGCAGACATTATTCGGGTTCCCCAAGTGGGCAGGGAAAAATGATTGGGAGTATGATTTGTCATAAAATGGTCTATCACTCCACACCTGAGCCATAACACCCACACTACATATGTGTAGCAGGCTCAGTGAATATGTGGTTATCATGTACATACAGTTCTGCTCAGTTATCTGCTCATCAGGACAAGTTATTCATATGTAATACATGCTGTAACTTCTTTCAGATTGAAAAAAGCTTCCAAAAGATTGACTACATACACTGACTCAATGTTTTGGTGTGATCTCATCAACTCAACTGCATGTAACACACTTTCTGTTACTAAGACATAGCTTCAACAATATTGCCTGAGCAGCTACAGAATTATATGTAGTGAATTTTTGGGAAAAAAATTTCAAAGTCGAAAAAGTTACATGTGGTATAACATGTGATTTATTTATTCTGATGGGCAAAAAACTGAGCAGACCTGTATGTACATGATAGACAACTATTGACTTAGCTTGCTGCACATATGTAGTGTGGGTGAAATGGCCCAGGTGTGCAGTATTAGATTCTTTTATGAAAAACTGTACTATTAATCATTTTCCTCTGCCAAATTGGGGAAGTTGAATGATGTTTACAGTGCATATCTCTGTCTTTGACTCATCGTTCATCGACTTCTTTGACACTACTAGAAATCACCAATTATTGTGATAGCATGCTCTGTTTTGAGGTTTCCATTGTGAAGAAGCAAACCAATTGCAAACCTCATGATTGTTTCTATCTACTCGCGGCTCCTAATTCTTAAAGGTAGGCAGCGGCTTCAGTTATTTTTGTCCAAACTTCAAACATCTTTATCTGAATCAAAAGCCGGCGTCAGAAGCAAAACAAAACCCCGGCTGCAGAAAAACCTAGAAAAACTCTGAAGGCAGTAGAAGTGGTACAGCTCTGTACCAGTCTGTACCTCAGTATAGCAGCTGTACATCTTCTGAAGGAATCCGGTTTGAAAAAACCGGTGTCAAACCAGCTTTGAAGTTGGCGTGGTTTATCAATTGCCTAGAAAAAATAGAGAAAAGAGACCGGAACATGTGGGAGGTCTAACTATTTCTACATTTTGTTTTAAGAGGGAGCAGGTGGGCGGGCAAACAAAATTAGAAGTTCAACTAGTACCACATTGAGATAACAGAAGAAGAAAGAAGATGAATTGGATTCAATAGAAGACTGTATCTAGCGGAAGTATTGAACTGAAAAGGAACAACTAGATTGAAAATATTTTTAGAAATTTTTGAAAATCTTTTCTGGGACAAACGGAAAGGGGTCGAGAGTAGGAAGATGAAAAAGGTTGGTAACAAGATCCGCAGTTTGAATTGTATTGATGATCTTTTGTAATTGCTTGACTTTTCCGCTTTCCCGCCTTGGAGCTACCTGCTCTTCTTGCTTGTGTGTACCCTCAACTCTCCCATTCCCCTCAGTCAACTCCTCGAGCCAACTTCCAACAGATGGGACTTCTGATTTCCACAATCTTGGCATCTTTGAATCAAGGGATCACAATGACCTTCTGTGTCTGTGGTTTTGTATTGCTCTTTTCCTCATCACCCCATCAAAAACACTCAACTTTGGGGATGAGCAAACACTCATTTGTAATGTTGATTTTTGTCTGTAAAGTCACATCGATTTTCATTTGGACAGTCGATCTTCAATTTGGAAAGTCAATCAATCTTTATCTTTTATTGATTCATGTTTAGTTGTTGTTCCCTCTCATTGCTATTATCCTTGATTGATACAATCTATCATGAAATTTAGAACGTACAAGTTTTACTTGAAATACATAACAATGAGTGCGTATTTGAATTGATCTTAGAGAGAATCAGATTATCGTTCTGTTGCGACTCACAAATCTTGGTCTCACCATTTGTCAATCTTAGAGAGGTTATCATCCTATCACCAATCTCGGCCTCACATCTTGATATGTACACCTTTGAATTTGGTCGCACACATTTAAAACACTAACAATCGGCTCACATTTAAATTGTTATTAGAGTCTGTTCAGGTTAGTCTTCAGAGTCCAGATTGCCCCAAATTTCGAGGATCGACTTGAGTCTGTGGGCAGTTTTTTTAAAGAGCATGATGATGATTGATCCAACAAAACAAAAAACAAAATGAAACAACAAAAATAAATGATATTGAGAGAGATTGAGAGCTATTGAGAGTCATCAAATCGGCAACATTGGGCAGCAAAAGGAAGTATGCGGGAGAAGATGCATGCATCTGCGTCTTGATCAACCCAAATGGATGTATACATACAGAGCTGTACGGTCTGTAGGCTCACATTGTCTCATGTCCTCTCACGTGAAGACTGATACGGCTATTCTCTTGAAACCCGACCCCTGCACAACCACTGTCTTGTCTAATTCACATCTGAACATCCAATCGTCTCAATGTTGCGAGCTCCACGGATAGCCCACAGTGCTGGACGCCGTTCCATTGCCACAACACGGAGCTGACAGGGGTTGTATCCGTAAATAAAGCGCATGGCAATCAGCCGCTGGTCCCACGCAGCAGATATGCACCCCAAACACGCGTCTGAGACACCCAATATTGCAATAACTAACACAGAGCTGAGACAGTTATCACACGCATGCCCTTCAAAAGTTTCTCCGATCATTTTTTTTACATTTCTTAAAGTGTTTTTGAAGCTGTTAGGCTATCAAACACTATTTCTCCAATTCATGAGAAGCATACGGAGGGCGACTTGAACATGTCAGAAGACATGTTTGATTTCCCAGACGGTGAAGATCTCTTCACTTTTGCGTTGGACTGACACTGCCGAAAGTCTTCATTATCATATCTTACAATCGTTAAAGTCTTTGCCATTGTCTTGTTTCCACTCATCACAATAAGATACTCCACCATGCAATTTGTATCGTCGGCTCAAGCCACTTCAAATGAACGTGAGGATTTCTTCACTCGCAGTGACCTCTGTGTCTTGATTTGCAAGTTTTGATCATGATTGATTATTCTGTGCCTTAGTCTTTGTGCAATGCATGTCTGGTCCAAACAAGGGACAGTGGACTTGTAGATTGTGTACGGGAAGAACCTTCAAAGACAAAATCAAACATAGCAAATTAAAAACTCATATTGACCGAGTACAACTCGAGCTTGACAGAGTCTCAGCCGCTCAGGCCGCCACGGCACCTCCGGGTTTAAGCTCTCGCACAGCAGTTGGAAACATTTCAACGTTGTCAGGTTCAATGATTCCTGAGGAGCAAAACATGCCAGATATGCCAGAAAGCCATCACGACATGGACCTCTCTGATGATGGCCTGGCCAAAAGCTCTGATGAGCTGGTATTGTTATATGATCCATCCACACCGAATGTATTCAAGGTTTGGTCTCAAGAGTCCAGAGAGTCCAGTGTGGACATAGACTCTTTCCTTGACAACACCTCCAACTCCAAAATCAATCCACGTCCAACGGTGACCCTTGATGCCAAACTGGCTGCCACCGACCAATGGCTTCCGTGGTACCCTTTACGAAAGCCAGAGGTGGGATTTCGTAACCAGTCTGCCTGGTTTAGGTCTTGATAAGTACTGACATTGAGGAACATTATATTTTTGTTTGCCCAGCACGCCACTGCTCTGCTGATGTTGGGCACCGGGCCCAACCTTATGTCTACTGCTGAATACAACCACATCCGCACTATCTTGAAAAGAACTCTTGAAGTGGATTTGCCTGACCTGGGTCCGTACTATTTTGCTATTACAGTTCAATGACCAAAGACAAGACTGAAATGCTACCAATTTCAGGCCACATCACGAATGTTTGCACCGATCTCAAGGCTTGCCTCGGCCTGCGGGTGTTAGAAAGAATCAGCCCGCTTGGAAACCCATGTTTCACTCTCTTTGTTTGTGATATCATATCCCAAGTGAGTATGTCACTTGTTTATCATTTCACTTGTGGTTGAACTGATATGGTTTGGTATGGGTAGGAGCTGAGTAACCCCAAGGTTGGCTCACATATAGAATTTTTCCTCAAGAAAGACAAAGGGGTCACTGTGGACCAATATTCTCAATCAAAGAAGTGGCGTGAAGAGCTGCCGCCCAGCCCTCAAGTGCCAATGGTTGATGTGGAAGGGGAGCACTTTTACATATATGAACCCACCCAGCTGGCAGACTCGCGTGTGGTTGTTCCCATTTTTTTTATAAAGACAAGTCGGTGATCCGTGCAAAGTGCTTAGAGTTAGAGGGGGTACAAGGCGCTTGGGATTTCTTGATTCCTGCAGAGCCCAAATTTGACTCCGACCAATTTTTAGACATAAACGTCAAAACATTTGCAACATTGTTCCCGCGAATAAAATTGTGGAATGGGCAGAAATGGTCAGAATCACTAACCACTTGATTACTGCGTGAGTAAATTGTGTTTGCTGTTCATTTTAACGCTGGTTTTACTGAACATGACCCCTCTGGTAGAGCGCTTGAACGAAGGAGTGACAGTCGTAAATCTCCCAAACTGTTGGTCTTCTAAGGCAAACAACATGATCATTTGAAGTGTACCAATAGTTCTTTACTTGGATGATACTTCAGGAAATATCTCCAAGAAAGGGAACAAACATATGTCTTTCTACTTCTCATTGGGCTGCTTGGCACCTAAATTCACAAATCAGGAGTATCACATTCACTCCCTGTGCACATCAAACATTGCAAGTGCTTTGGAGCAAGGAGACCAGATAGTAGATGAATTGAAGTATGTCATTAGTTTCATTTCACAGCAATTGATGTACTTTTAACTGGTTTAAATTGATGAGAGTTTTTTTGCTTTAGTCAAGTGGCTTTGACTGGGTTTTGTGCTTACGATTGTAGCATTTGGTAACACATGCTTGTTCTACCATTCATCCTATGCCATATGGGTGATTCTCCAATGCATGCTGAGATTACAAATACCACCAACCCCTCTGGAACTCTATCGCCTTGCCGGATATGCAACTTGACTGTTGAGTCCCGAGCTGATAAGCAAACAGAGACCTACGTTCAGCAGTTTGTTGGAATTGATCAAGATTGCAACCCCGTGAGATTGTGTTTATTGATGAATGTCTGCCGCAAATATACCAGCGTATACTAACTCTGTCATGTTTGCCTTAGGCATCTCTTCCTTTGCGTAACTGGGCGCGCACTCGAGAGCAGACCAAACAGAGGTGGGAGTTGACACAAAACCCAAAAAGCATTAGGCAGTTTGATGATCTTTCAAAATCTTATGGAACTTGCAACTCTTTGAATCTCCTGTTTGCAAAGGATGCTCAGCAGCTCTACCGCGCAAACAAGCACAAGCCAAAAGAACATCAGATGTCCCAACAGGAAATCATTGCTCATTGTCAAAGATTGGAGGATCAACATGGTGAACATATGTTCAATCCCTTTCTACGTCTGGCTGGTGAGTGCACCACACTCATCCTACAACTGCCAATGTCCGTTGTTCACTCCTCACAAGCAAACTCAGAGGACCATCCCAAGCAAGTAGTTCAGGATCAAGACCTGCTTATAATTCTAAGAAAACTCATAAAACTCTTCAAACCACCCAATCCAAGCTGCTGCCGGCTTCAGGAGCACCTAAGTCAACCCCTCATGTTAGCCCATATTTTGACATGGTTGACTATGAGGAAATCATTGCGAACTTCAGTCATCCAAGCTTCTGGAGTGCTCTTGTTGGTGGGGTAATAAAGCTAAAGTCTCCGGACAGGTAGCAAAGGAACTGTGCAAGCAAATAGCAAGTCAGATCAACACCGACTTCCACCGGCGCCATAATACCACTAATATGCGTCTCACTGGATGTCAAATCCAGTTGCTATTGATCCAATACAAACGCAAATATATGTAAACCAATTGTAAAAGTTTGCCTACTGGTTTTGGGTTAACCGATGCAGAAAGGGAGTGTGGACTTTTAGTTGAAGATAAATTGGAAATGGTTTGCCCGCTGTATTCAAAGATGCATGAGCTATTCAAGGACAAGGGGAATTTGAACCCTTTTGGTATTATGGACAGTGGTTTGATTGACGGTGAAGATGAAGGCAATGAAGGCAAAGAAGGTGAAGAAGGTGAAGAAGGCAATGAAGGCAATGAAGGCAATGAAGGTGAAGAAGACATTGATGAAGGCAATGAAGGCAAAGAAGGTGAGGAAGGTGAAGAAGGTGATGATAAGGAAGATGAAGACATCAAGCCTAAAATTAGGTTGAAGTAGAAAGACATATGCTTGTTTCACCTTTTGCTGACATTTTCAGACATATCATCACAACATATGGTCAAAGGTATATGGCAAACAATCCTGCCATTAGACTTTTTTCTCCATGGGTTTGGTAAGGTGATGGATTTGTATGTGAAGCCACTTCTCTTTTCTGCATATTACTATTGTCAACTCTTATGGCTTATGAAGTGGGTGAGGCTTATCTACTTACGGTAGAGATGCTTGCCACAATAATTTATCACAGTCTTTTTAGGTCTGATATGAATCTTGGTGAATGGTACTACAAATGGATCCAAGCATACCAAAGGCAGCTGATGAAATGGTTCCTCTGGCCCAACATAGATCTCATATGTCATGTTGGAGAAAATCTTCAGTTGAGGCCTCAAGTACTTTGCATATAGAACTTCATCCTTGTAGTAAAAGTGTGTAGGAACCAATATTGCAACCGCTGTGCAACACAATCATTTTTGACTATATGCCATTGCGGTGTGCGTCTGCGCAATAGGACCACAATGGCACATGTTTTTTTTCTCTCAGGGTTGTGCGCTATACAACCAGTGGGTCCATTACCCTTGACTCCAGCGGTAGCATCTACAAAAGTCTACCAGCATGTATGAAAAGTTAGTAAGTATTTCACGTAGTCCAGTAGGAAGATGAATGTGCTTACCTTCAATACCTTATTGACCAATTCAACTGCATTCCATTCCGCAGGAGAGATTGTTATCCCCTTGAAAAAACATGCCTTGCAATCAGCAGCAAGCATTGAGTCAATAACCTGAAGGTGTAGATTATCAGCACATATGTTGAATATTCAAAATGAAGGAAAAGAATAATGCTAAGAACCTCACCTGGTGTGCCTGACACACCACATTTTGGCTCTGGTAGTGGCTATTCCACAGTGTCTTGCAAGGATGCATGAGCATCCTTCCCTTGTAACCCATCCAAGCCAATTGTGTCTTGAAATGACATTGCCTGGCAGCGCTGCTAGCAATCTGGCCACTAACAATATCAATCTGCAATCAAAATAAGGTGAACTTGAGATGTTATCAAGAAGAACGTGTAGGAAATGAAAAGCACATACCTTTGTGAGTGTGATACAAACAAGATTGTCCTTGTCACAATCAGGATCCTCAGTTTGATCTTGGATTCCATCCTCATCATCCACACCGTCAGGTTTTTCAGGTAAGCCTTCATCATTACCTTCATCTTCATCTGATTCATCCATTTCAAGACCATTGTTGCCATCATTAACCTCAAGAGTCGGAATTGGAAAAGGTATGCCATGAGGATTTTTCAGTTTTGTAATAGTAACCTTCTGACCAAGCATCTTGAGTCCGTGACCAATGGTAAGGTTCAGTTTATGAGCATAGCAGCGCACGTGGTTGCTGAACTATCCCACGTGTCTGCTGCTGCTCTCTACCCAATTTTGGTGGCTATGTTAGCAAAAACTCAAATATATCTCGACGAGGTGCTTTCATGTGATGCTTTGGTCATGGCAACTATGTTGCATCCTGCTTTTCGGGCTTGTTTTTTCCATACTTTTTTTGACAAGAACTAATCAACATCGATTGAAGACAAAGCTACATTTAATTCAATCTTTAAGCTCCATCAACTGAAGAACTCCAAGGGACAAGGCCAATCACATGATACATCCAAAAATCAACAAGATCTCAGCGCAAAAGCATCTATTTTCAAACTCTATAGCGACAAAGGTGAAGATATGGGTAATGACAATCAACTCTCAGACTATCTACGTGGTTGCAATCGCATGAAAGAGACCAATTACAATATTTCCAATCCAAATGTGGTGCTTGATTGGTGGGCAGTAAGTGTCTTTCCTACTGCATTTCAGCATTAATACGACTTGAAGAAATGGCCATTGATATTGTTTGTGTTTATTAGGCTAATTGCAACAGATACCCTGTGGTTGCGGCAATGGCAAAGGATTACTTATCCTGCTCAGGTTCTTCCTGCAAACCTGAAAGGATGTTCTCAACAGCAGCCAATGTGTGTGTTGCAAGCAGGGGAAGTTTGCAGGTTATCACAATTGAAAGGCAAGTTTTGGTTCAGCTTTGGCTGCCTGAGGGGGTACCGTTAGGGCAAGACTTTATAAAGGTGATGGAGGCTTGTGGTAAAGCTGGGTATCAGGAGTCTGTCAATAATAACCATGTATCAAAGAAATAGTTTTGTTTATTTGTTTCTTCTGCTCTCTATGCCACCTTTTCTGTTTATCTCTTAGTCTTGATTGTGTTTCATTTATATGCTTATCTTCTTTCATATGCCCCTTTGGACTGAGAAAATATTGTTTTCATTTTTTTTAAAGTCTGGCCTTTGCAGCGCGCTGCAAAGCCAACATTTGGCGTTGAAGCGTGAAAAAACGCAGCTGGTTCACCGTTGGTTCTAGTCAGACGGGACTTCTATAAAACCAAAGTGCAAAGGGGCATATGGGACGGGCAATGAGGAATTCGTCGGTCCCACGACAAGGAGGAAACTTGTGCAGCCATCTGCCATTATTCCAATTTTCATGTGAAGTTCAAGCACTTGATGTTGATGTTACTAACGTCGGGATGAGAGATTGGGGACGTGTACAGGCACGGTGTTAAGCCGCCGCCGGGTTGTATCATGTATGCCAGACACTCGAAGTTTGACTCTCGCGGCTTTCCTACAACGTACACTGTACCACAATTTTCACCACACTCAAGTCTCATTGAAGGCTTCCAACAAACGATCATCCATTCAAGATGCCAACGTATGGTGGAGGTCAGTTTCTTACCATCTTCTGAAGCTCGATTAAATCTGGTTCTGAACATACCTCGCATTCGACTTCGATTGGCGCCGGATGGATCAGACGAAGTATCGGCCGTGGTCTTAGACATGGGCAGCAGCACCACGCGAGCTGGGTAAGTCTGACAATCGATTTGAGCACAGCGAACGCGCCAAGACAACCACTTCAACTGACCCAAGCCTTGAAATGTAGCTACGCAGGCGAAGACACACCCAAGGTTGTGATACCCACTTCTTATGGCTTTCGAGCAGGATCCGCTGAGGGCGAACCAGTTCAGCGAGATCCCAAATACTTCTTCGGTGATTTCGGTCCTACGGTCTGGAGAGCTGGAATGGAAGTCTTGAACCCGATGAAAGATTCAATTGTAGAAGATTGGAATGTAGCCGAAAAGTTGATGTATTTTGTCCTCGATCGCGAAATGCGATTATCACTGCCAGGTATGTAGTCTTAAATGGAAATCAAAACTCTCAGATCTATCACAATCACGCTCATGTATATTTCGGGAACGCGAACAAAAAGGTGCTGAGCTAGAACCGGATGAGAGACGCGGAATTTTGACTGAACATCCCTTATTGGTTACGGAGGCATCATGGAACTCGAAAGAGAATCGAGAACGTATGATCGAATTAGCTTTTGAAGAATTCGACACGCCAGCATATTACTCCGTTGATCGTTCGGTCATGTGCGCGTACGTACCAAACCTTCAACAAGTTATGATAGACCACATCCTACAGTACTCTAAGCAACTTATCAAACTCCTCTCCTCAGATTTGCTGCTGGGAAAGGTTCAGCTCTTGTAGTAGATATTGGGGAGGAGCTAACGACTGTCACTCCAGTTTGCGATGGATTTGTGCTTCGCAAAGGTAATTTCATCGACTTCGAAGCTTACCATCTTGAAATCACCGCTACCATCACGCTCATCTGAATGGTTTAAATGTGTTCAGGCATTCAGAAATCGCCCATCGCCGGAGGCTTACTCTCATCACTTCTACTGTCAACAATGCAAGCCGAGTCAACTACCCCAATCTTACCACAATATCTTATCGCTTCAAAACCTTCGCTGCCATCTGCACCCATTGTGGTCTCTAACGAGGATGGATCCGAAGCTCAGGCAAATGCCAATCCTGATCAAACCCCAGCCGGTGTTATCTTGCGTGAAGAACGTATGCCAGGCAAACCAGACTCGACCACTACTCCAACATATGCCAAATATCAGGAATTACGTATCATGCACGACCTCAAGGAATCCATATGTGAAGTCTTACCTCGATCATGGGACGAAGAGTTAGTTATCTATATTTTTTATATGATCGACCGCCAGCCTTTAATCTTTCAGATTGACAATTGACTCCATTGTTCTCTCTCGGTAGAATTGTAGCCACACTTCCAACCAGATCATTCGAGCTTCCTACCGGACAACTTCGATCATTTAGTAGAATGCGTTGCACAATACCTGAAGTTTTCTTCAACCCAACCTTTATACCACCAGAGTTTACTTCACAAACCAAAGCAAAAAATTCAGCATCTACCATTCCAACACCTGATTTATCAGCAGCCATCTCATTACCGAAGATGATTTTAAAATCTATCACAAGTTGTGATACAGATGTTCAAGCGATTCTCAGCACTAATATAGTTATTACAGGCGGTTGTAGTTTGTTACCGGGTTTATTGGATCGATTGGATTGGGAACTCAAAGCTCAAATGCCTGGGGTCAAGTTCAAGATCACAGCGGCTGGAAACATATCTGAACGACGTTTTGGAAGTTGGTTGGGAGGTAGTATCTTGACTAGCCTGGGATCATTCCATCAACTATGGGTGGGCAAAGATGAAGTAAGTGCAATCACTTGGCTATCTTGGACCAAAAATCTTCATCGGGCTACCATGGGATGTTGATATCTTTTTGTTTTATAGTATAAAGAACAGGGACGATCAGTGATCCATCGTAGGTGCAAGTAGAATGACCTGAATTTGAAAATCGAGAGCAGAATAAAGGCAACCTCCAAAATATCTTTTGTAAAGCTTCTCGCCAAATTGACATGTATGTAATGTATCAATAAATCATGCGTCGGATTGTACGCCACAACGCACCGATATAACAGGTCACCACATCTCTTGACAGAAACCTTAGTACAAAGATAGGTGTTATTTGATCGACTTTCATGTAAGTGTGACTGCCTTTTACCTTGGAGTTCAGTAGTGCTTTAAATTAGCACACTCTGGATTAACATAACTTGAGATCACCCGAATCTATCAAGGTGAAAATATTCGAGCTCTTGAAAGAAGACCTGATATATTCCGGTTTATATAAAGGTGAGAGACCCCATCCCAGGCGATAACTTTGAAGAGCCTCTATGGATGTTAGACACCATACTACACATCACAACGCCGTTCCACTGTCATACACATCTTCATTTTGGGTTAAACTTACTCGGGCCACCTCATGAATCCCAATGGCCGATGCACTCCGGAATCAAACAGATCAGTAATTTTTTGAGTGACAAGGCTCTGGAAGACCTTAATATCCACGTGAATAGAATGAGCATGCATCACAATTTTTCCTGACTATACTTACACATCACTATCAAGCAATGTTTTGCCAAAGTGGTCACAATTGCTGATTTGCTTCAATATAGACTTTCCTTCTTTGGGTCAAACAATTTGGTTTCTCTGATTGAAGAGATCATACAAGCTGTATAACAAGTGAAAACACTGTGGTACGTTCCTTCTTCAACCAGCTAGTTTATCTCTTCCATATCATACATTATAACAAGCATTTGTACCAGTTGATCAAGATATCTTGATACCCCAAAAAGTATCATTTTGTAAAATGAATACATTATAGGTGTGTTTCAAATCTTTTTGATCTGATTTAGTTCATCAGCTCTCAAGATTTACTTATTTTCACAAATGAAGAAACTATCTTTGTATATTAGGAGCATATTTGTACTTTGAATTTCAGTCAGATACTTGCAATTTCAATGGACTTTGTTGATTCAACCAAATTTACTCACTAATTACTTTTCAATCCTTTCTCTCCATTTGGAAATTGGAATTGGCGTTGTTGGTTCAGAACACCCAGTTTTTTTAAGTGAAACTCCTCAAAGATGGAGACTGCCGGAACAATTTTTTCAAAGTGGTGGTAGTGTCTCCTGCTTGAAATTGACAATGGGCCTCAAAACACTATCTTCTGTCAATCTAAGCTTTCATCTCAAGCGCATGACCTGATACACTGTGCCACACAACACCACACTTTGAAGTTGTCATGAGAGGACCTTCCAACGCTGGTGAAAGGTAAACACGCACTTAGTTCAATTTTCATAGAAAAGACATATCTGAATTTTATAAGCTTTGGAGGTTTTTTGGAATGGGATTCAAAGTAAGCACAAGTCAAATGAAATTTTGTACTAGAAGATAGATGGGAATCATAATTGTATTCAACTGATAGTAATTGTGATGGAGGCTGGATTGGAGAAATATCATATATGCTGTACTTCAAAATCAACAGATTGTATTCCAGATTTGAATGCATATCACCAACCACATTCAAGGATGTTGATTTCTCCATAGATTTTGAGAAATGCAATCAGAGCCATTTCAACAAAATAACACAGCAGGATCATGGGTGATAATGAAGAATTAACAGTAGATTCACATCAAACACTTTTGTGCAGCATAATCACCCTTCAGTTTCATCTTACCCTGAGAAGGACACTCAATTACCGGCACCACAATGTTCAAACTATCAACAAAATTTTCAGCAAGGGCCATCAGCGGGGCCTTCAAGATCTAGAGACCATTCAAGAGACCCGAAGGACCCGCCTTACCAATCTTATTACATGCATAAGGACTTATATGGAATTGAATACGCAAAAGGTCTTAAGATTGAAGTGCAATTTTGTTTGGCGTGGAACTTGGTTAACAATTGTAAAGCAGGAGATTCATGCCCTCAGATGCATAAATGTGTTGGTCCTGTTCCTTTATTATCTGATTCTTGTCCTAAGACATTGTTCTTGGCACATGGTCTTTTATGTGGCTTTTGTTTCAACCTTACTTTTCAGAATGTTCACAAATGTTGTGTGGCGCACAGAGGATGCAAGCATCCCTGAAGAATACGCTTCCGCAAAATTTCTTAGGGGGTATGAGTGGGATGGGAGTTCTGTTTCAGGTCTCTATGCAGCAATTGAATCGAGTAGAGCTGCGACTCCATTTCCCAATGCACCATCTTTAGAAGAGGATCAAGACACAAAATTCATTTTGGAACAATATCATTTTTTGTTTAAAATTTTGACTCCATTCAAGTTCAACAAAATGGAATCTCTTTTATTACAACATCCAAATCAGACATTTGTGAAATCAGTGTTGAAAGGGTTAAGGCAAGGGTTTTGGCCGTCATTCTCACTGCCTTTTCCAGAGATTATTGATGTTCCTAACCACATCACGTGTTTCAAAAATAAAGCTATATTGGACTCCAAGAAGCAGTACACGGAGGAAATTGAGAATGGAAAGATTTCAGAGGAATTTTTGGTTCTACTTCTGGGAATGAAAGTTATTCCACTCTTGATGACGTCAAAGAAAGACTCTGACAAGATGAGGGTCTGTTCCAATATGAGTTTTGGTAGACCCTCACCTACACTGTTCCCATTGAGAGGGTCTTTGAGTTTTTCTGGATCCTTTAGATTGTGTTTTGTTTGTGCAAAGAACAAGCACAACATGACACTCAGCTGAAATCCAATCAGAGTAGGAACTGAGCGTGTTGACCTGAGGTTGTGCAAAAACCACTGAAAATATGCTGAACGGCCTCAGACAATAGATGGGTTACATAGAACAATTCAACTCCGTTCTTTGGAGTTTGAAGAGAGTCCATTTTCTGAAAACCTGGATCAACGTCTTTTTGTTTTGCTACTTCTTAATATCTCTTTAGATCACTGATAATGATTGAAATGTATATGTACCAGTTGGTTGTGTTAAGCATTGGTTTCCATTTTCATTTGGAAAGATGGAGAATTTATCCATTTCGCCATCAAAGTTGTACCAATATCAGGATTCACAAGTTGTGGTTTTGAGCAATCAGGTCAAGCAATATTGAAATTTGATCTCAAGATTCAAAAAACTTCAGTCTTTCACTTGAAAATATCCAAAACCACATCCTGTACGTTATACTGGTATTGACTTTGTAAACTACAAGAAATTGATCCTTTGGAATAATGTAAACAGAAGGATAGAGGTAAGTCAATTGATTTCCATGTTCTACATGATTTGAATATTGTGCTCAATGTCTGATATTATTCATAAGCCTTAATTTGCCATGAAGTTTTGAAGGGGAATATAATAAGTGAAGCTGAGGTGGAACAGTATTTGAACCGCTCCTGAGTACTGATCAATCTAAGCAGTGGCACAGTCCTAGCAAGCTTCAAGTTGCTGAGGTTAAGGTGTGCAGGCGCCTAAGCCTTTGTAATGCGTTGGAAACATACCAGAATCAAACTCGAACAAAACTTGACCAAAACTCGCAAATCATTGGGCCCCCAACGTTGGGGGCCCTCTCAACGGGCACGGTGCTAATGATTTAATAGACAAGCACGACATAGCAGTTTCTTACAATTCTCTGAGATCTTTTGCACCTTATCTGATTGAGATGATGAAGAGTCACATGGTGGGCGCGGGCTTTGAATTTAGGGCAGGCCGGGGCGCGGATTTTGACCGTTCCAAAGGCACACCTATAGTGGGGGCGCAGAGAGGACCCTGGAATGCGCCTACAGAGGGTAGTGACAAAGCCTGATTTTCAGTTTTTGGGCTCTACACTACACACCACTCATTCTACCACAATCCCAAGCACTGCAAAAGATGCGCATGGAATAGGGCTATCAGATGAGCTTGTCCTGACCCCTGTAGCTTGGCTCACTTCGGCGTAAATCGCAAAGGCACAAAAAACTTTTAGGCCCCCGAGGCCCAATTCCGACCTTTGATTTTTGGCCTTTTTTTGGGCTTTACACTTGAATATCTTGGGACATATTGGTGCTATAGGGTTAAAAGTTAGTGCATATGAAATCTCTGCTTCTTGCGCTTCTTCTGCGCTCCTGTAGCAACAGAAATGCGTGATTATGTACCCTACAAATCCGTTACAAAAAGGTCGGAATTTACGTCACTACCCTCTGTAGGCGCATTCCAGGGTCCTGCGCAGAGGCGTGCCTCTGAGGTGTCAAAGTCTCCCCAAAGATAAAAAAACATAAAAAATCACTCAACAACATCAAAAATCATATCTTTTGTATTTTATAATGGTGCTTCTGCACATCTCATGAACAGGCATTGAAGTAAATCATCAAAAAGATCTTCCTCATCCCAATCTTCATTCTCAGATCCCTCATCTAAAACAATAGGGGAACTCAGGTCAAAGTTTTTTACTACTTTTCCCGTAAAAAACTTTTCCCAACTTCATAAAATTTACACAAAATTTTATGAATTTAATTTTGGGAAAAGTTTTACAAGATCCCAAATTTTTTTGGGCAGAAAATTTACGCAAATTTGTGTAAATTTACTGCTCAGAAGGAGATCCGAAAGAAATTTTTACGGTCCTTTTCTACAAATTGGGAAAAGTTTTTACAGCACGGTACCGTAAAAATTTTTCCCCAATTTTTAAGAAAAGGCCGCAAATATTTGGACTTGAGCCCCCTTAATTGTAACAGGTTATTCTACTTCAACTTTAATATTGAATAATGTTGAATCAAAGAGGGTGTCTATAAAACAACTTTCAGTAGTATACTCTTGTCCTTCTCCCTGATCCACCTCATCTTTGCCATGAATTACATTTTCAAACTCTTGAACTTGTTCAAGATCTTCAAATTGAGGATCTAAATCTTGTCATTCATTGGTAGCAGCAGTTTGATTGGTATCACCGTGTAAATATCCGTGTAGCACGTCGACGTGCACACACAAAAGACTTTCCTTGGACCCTTTAACGACCCATCAAAGAGGTTCCACAACAAGTACATCTTCCCCTTATCACCTGGGAGGTTGAAAGTCAGTTGGCCCCCACTGACAACAAAGGATTCTGCAAATCCTTCAAACAAATCACAAAGCACAAAGGGTGCTCAGCAAAAATCTCAG